TTCGTCAATATACAACGTAAGTTTTCATAATGTTTCCTTTAGGTTGTCTTCAAAATAGAATTTAAAATGAATAAGAAATTCAGAGGCGCAGATGGGTGATTGGTAGGGAGGGGAGAGCATTTTGCGGTTTACAAGTCTTACTCTCGTAAAACCTGTTAATTCTTGCGAAGCTGGGCAAGCTCCTTGAGCATCCATGGTAAATGTATTCGTATGACATTTTATGCCCCCCTCCCCTCCGCCGTTTTGCTCCAAACTTATAATTACTGTCTCCATGCGCTGTGTAGACTGCTGCTTTGCATCCTCGTAGGTTCTACCCCATTTCACCTACTCGAGATTCTTCGATATCTAGACGTAATTTCTCCCTAGGGTAGGTTTGGCTAGAATTTTGTCTGAGGGTAGTTTGACCCCACAAACATGAATAACTCATACGGTTGACGCAAAACCGCCTTGTACATGCGATTGAAATTTCGGCTTCAAAGCTGAACTGTACCACCGTTGTGTGTAGTGTCAAGTGTTTTGGCTCCAATCTCGACGTCAGACTACACTCGGCGGCAGGATTTCGACCGAGTCTAGTTCCTGGGAAAACTTGTGTGAATCCAGCCTGAACTTTAAATAGTGCGGAGTGCAAATATAGTTTTGTAATTCCTATTTTTTTTCTTGTATTTTTCTGAGCTTGAAGTCTTCACCGTCAATCAGTCCTTTTGGATGGGGCATGAATTTCACTACCACTTAGTATCGTAAGTATTGCAGTGACATTAAATGCGATGTGTCCTGTACAATGGTTTGCGGACCAGCCGATGAATAAGTAATTGTTCTTGTCCTCATACTCGAATCTGGTACTTATTTGCCGTGCCCGGAGGGTAGATGGCTTCATTCGCCTGGGTTTGAGCCGATCCAGGATTTACTCCCCGGCCCGCGTGCGTCGTAAACGTGCTAGTGGCCACTAAACCACCTGCGCATGGTGGAGCAGGCTGAAGTGGAGAAGCGGAAAAAGGCACGCTTACGACGTGGGCAATAAGTCTCAGATCGGCTCCTGCTCAGGCAGGCCAAGATTTCTACCCTCGGAGGGTGAATTGGTACCAGACTCGTCTGCGAGGACAACAATGCTGACTGATACATCAGCAAGTTATCATATAGCTCGATCGCGTTCAGTAAGCCAACCAATTTACCGTCCCCTTGGGGAGGCGGAGGTGAAGACCTGGTTGCCCCTGTGCGAAAACCGATTCGAAATTGGATGGACCCCGGACCGCGCGCGTGGTAAACGTTCGAACTGCCGCCACACCACCTCCCAGTTTGATCTGAATTGTTTATGAAAACGTTGGCAAGCAAAATTCAATTGAATTCATCCATCCATTACTTTGTTCTCCTATGTTTCGCGGTGGTTGCGAAATTGTCCATCTTGCCTGATGGCTTTGATTTTTCACCAGACAATAAGGCGGGCGCTATAGCTCTTCCCCCGACTAAAGCCTTCAACTATGGGTTATTGCCTGAAATATGTGGGAAAGGGCGTTGTCGTAGAACTGAGACCCATTGGCATTCGTCCTCGCTCGTCCCGGATAGCATCTGCCAGATGGCGAAGATGAGTCGTGTAAACATCACGCTGATCGCTGCGCGTTGTGTGATGGCGGCTCATAGTAAAACATCCCGCATCGCTTCTAGAGCGAAAGAGATTTGCAATTCTACCGATTTTACTGGATTAGCATGGCAGAGAGCACTTTATTTGCATTATAAATGCTTAATCGGAGTTCAGAGATTACCAGCTAAATTCGCAGAGATCAAGTGAACATCCGCCCACAGTGCAACGGGTTTTTGCAGCAGCCGAGCTGTGTGTTGCTACTTTCATGTGTACTGTTTTTTGAAAAGTGTTATTGTGAACGTTCTACCAAGTTCAGTGCTAAAATGGATGGCTATGAAATTCATTTTGAAATGCAATTCGTTGCAGAGCTCCTGTGGAAGGGAACGAAGAGGATAGGCGCCGTGCAGATCAGATCGCTAGGGAAATCGAGAACAGTCAACAGAGCAAGTTCAACGCTCGGCTTGAGAATGATGACGATGAGCGCGACCTCGATAAGCAGACTACGGAAGAGGATTTCGAGATGCAATCCAAAAGAGGAGGTGGCGTTGGTGGACAACGGTGAGCTTTTGTTTCATAGCTGTTTTGTAGATGATGAATTTGTAAGTTGGCAGTGAGAAAGGAGCGACAACCCTTTTTAGAACTCCCATCCACTTTGCTTGTGTGTTACATGCGGTTCAGTAGGAAATAGATCACTTGGTTATTATTGTATGATAGTGAGTTAATTTTAGATGAAAAGGGGGGGGGAGAAATTCCTTCTTTTTCTACGTCTTTATTCGCCGTGCTCTTGCCTTTGCCCAGGCGACAATCAGTCGTTTTATTTTACCTCAGCGAGGCAAATTCAAGTCTGATGGTGACGAGCATTTTGCGAGTACTACCGCCTAAATCCCAAGTAAAATAGAGGATTTTGTTTTGCTTCTCAAAGATGTGGAAGAAACAGAGCAAGGAAACCTCTTAGAAAGAAGAAAATTTTAATTTTGACTGGCCTCGTTGGACGAGTTCTCCGAACTGCTCGTTTTATGCCTGCAAATGCTTTTTAAAAGTAATATTCATAAAATTCAGTAACTTTCGTGTGCAGTTGTTTCATTGAGAATTACATACTAAAAGAGAGGAGACGCAGAATAGAGAGAGCACAATGAAAGACACAAGAGAGAAAAGGGGGGTGAGGTTTGTGGACCGTCGGAGTGCCACTCAGTACTGAGAAAACACACTCGGCTCACGGTAAGAAGGGGGATGTGTGGGTGCGAAAAACAGTGCAAGGGCGAGATGATCTTTTCATAGAAAGTATGCCGATGGAAGGAACATCTGGATCCACGGGTTATATACTGCTCTTAACTCGCAAACTGGCATTGTGGAACCGCTTGTAGAGGATTGTGACTCAGGACACTCAAATGATATGAGCACACAAAGTGTTGATGTAAACGTGCAAAATACTTGGAGCGATTTCCAAATCGCTCGACGTAATCGCTAGCTATGAACGCTCTAAACAGATACTTCTGCTGCGACATCAGCAATAGGAAATATGTATTCCCGCAAAGACGGTTATACGGTGGCAGCGTTCATACTTTGCATGTCAAGCGATTCTCACATCGCGCATTTGCGAGCGACATACTACCCACCACCACTCATTGGAAGAGAACTGAGCCTAATTGAATCACGTGGATTCGCGGTGGCTAATAGTCGCGCGATTGTATAGTCAAGTCGCAAACTATGAACGCAGGCTCAGAGATGACACGTCATCTAAAACGTTAACGAAAACTCACGAGATGACGTCACGCAACACGTTTATGAGCAGGAAAAAATGTACTGTACATTGGCAACATCTCGAGACACGTCATTAACGTGTTATGTGACGTGACGCGTCATCTGGCTGCTAACAGGATGGACCGCGTATCTGTGCTACTTCAGCGCTTTGGCGCCTATCTCTCCGAAAACTGGACCGCTGCATCAGCGTCTAGCAGTCATTTTATCCAGCGCCAAAACACCGCTATAGACATCTTCAGTCCTCTGAATAACCTCGTAGATCTCTAATTTATCATTTAGTGGCTGTTGAGGGGTAAATAAAAGACATATGTGTGATGTGTGGCATTGATGACTTGTATATTCGTCGTTGCTTTCAGGGGGAATTACAACATTCGTAATCAACGCAATGGTGCAGGTGGTCCAACGATGGGGAATCGTCGTGCAGATGTGATGAAAGGAGGGCTTGAAAGTAAGTAAATCGATTCGAGACGCCACTATAATGAATTGCGCTCCCCATTTACTTGTTGATTACAGTTTAACCAGTTCATTGCCGTGGTTTTCCTTTTCTAGGGCGCTCAGTATTGATTGCTTGCACTTTCTGGACTAGACATTCCAACGCCTGAA